ACCCATTGAACTTTGTCCATTCATTTTTGCTGCACATGTTAATGCGTGCATAAAATCATGTGCATGTTGTGTGTGTTGCAGGGCCCTGATGGGTTACCTGGCAAAGCTGGATTTCCTGTAAGAACTTTTTGTACTTTACTGTATGCTGAGCATGTGCGCTACCAGTTTTGATTTTTATGCTTCTATTCCTGTTTTAGAATTTATTACAAAGTCAATGTTTCATTTGTTGTTTGCACCACATGTGGTACATGTGGTGGAACAAAATTTTGTACACAGGGTCCCAGTTACATCCAATAATTTATAAAAATAAAGAAAAGCAGTAATAAGATCTAAAATATGAACTAAGAAATACGCTAAACTAAGAATACACTAAGCACTAGTAGTACAAAAACTATATGCCGAACAACAGCAGCACTAACAAGAAAGAATTAAAAAATGCACTAGTCACTTTACTTTAATTTTATTTGCATTAACTGTGTAAAAATGTATAAATGATCATCAGTGTTTAATTCCCTTCCAGGGTCCTAGGGGACCAAAGGGAGACAAAGGACCTCTAGGCACACAGGGGCCAGCAGGGCCCAAGGTGAGATGTTAACACAGATCATTGTTTTTCAAAGAAAGTTTGTGTCATCATATATATAAAGATTATTGTACATGAGTAAAAATATTTGTTCTTTTTATTTCTATTTATTTGCTCTCACAGGGACAAAAAGGAGAACCAGGGGTGACCATTGCTGCTGATGGATCTATTCTGTCTGCACCAAGAGGCCCTCAGGGGCCAAAAGGCCCAAAGGTACCTGGAAAAACATACATTTTACTCTCAACTGGATCCATTTGATGATGTTTTTCAGAATGCTTTAAGACAGATCGTATAAATATAAACATCCATCAGAATTGCTGCTGCTAGTTGTTAGACCAAAAATATGCAAAAATTAAACAGACATATCACCTCTGTGGGCAGCACGGTGGTGTAACTGGTAGAGCTGCTGCCTCTCAGTGAGCAGGTCCTTGGTTCAAACCCCGGTCCAGGGGCCTTCCTGTGTGGAGTTTGCATGTTCTCTCCGTGCATGCGTGGTTTTTCTCCGGGTACTCCGGTTTCCTCCCACAGACCAAAAACATGCATGTTAGGCTGATTGGTAACTCTAAATTGTCCCTAGGTGTGAGTGAGAGAGTGAATGGTTGTTTGTCTCGTTTGTCTCTATGTGGCCCTGTGATGGACTTGCGACCCGTCCAGGGTGTCCCCCGCCCCTCGCACAGTGATTGCTGGACATGGGCACCAGTGACCCCCGTGACCCAAAATGGAATAAGCGGGTAAAGATAATGGATGGATGGATGGATCACCTCTGCTGTATATATTAACAATTTTCTGCAGGATCAATAAAGTTCTATCTTATCTTATCTTGTCTTGACTTGTTTTAACTTGTCTTGTCTTGTCTTGACTTGTATTGTCTTGTCTTGACTTGTCTTGTCTTGTCTTGTTTTATCTTGTCTTGTCTTGTCTTGTCTTGTCTTATCTTGTCTTATCTTATCTCGTCTTATCTTGACTTGTCTTGTCTTATCTAGTCTTATCTTGTCTCGTCTTATCTTGTCTTGTCTTGACTTGTAGTGTCTTGACTTGTCTTGTCTTATCTTGTCTTGTCTTGACTTGTAGTGTCTTGACTTGTCTTGTCTTGTCTTGACTTGTAGTGTCTTGACTTGTCTTGTCTTATCTTGACTTGTCTTGTCTTGTCTTGACTTGTCTTGTCTTATCTTGACTTGTCTTGTCTTGTCTTATCTTGACTTGTCTGGTCTTGTCTTATCTTGTCTTATCTTGACTTGTCTTGTCTTGTCTT